TATATCCTCATGCTTTATGCTTACATGCTTTTGTCTGCCTTTTATGGTAAGACGTTTTGCAAGGATGTGTTGCCAAACTAACACATTCATGTCTAAACAATTAATTTCTAAAGAAGATTTCACATGATCTTGATACATAATTGCATAATTGTTTTTTAAATTTTTCACATCATTTCATACATTGTATTTATTGTGCTACTTTGTGATCCCTGTTTTAATGAGTAGGAGTGAGATGTATCATTATATTATTATATGGTTACTGCTTTGCCTGGTATGTTCCACAGTATGGCATTAAACCTTTCTATCTTAAACCTTAAACCTTTCTATCTTAAAAATTATTCTTACTGAATTACAGGTGTTTTTATCGCTAACAAAAATCACAATGAAAAATACTGTGAGTAATGTCTCCTCTCCACAGATCAAACCTGTAACATGGCCTGGTTGTCTCTGTGCCATACTGTGGGACATTCCAGGCTAAGTAATAACCTCTCCATGAAGACTGGCTCGTGATGTACTCTCCACCAGAAAAGTTACATATTGCATCTTTAAATTGGAGGTGATATTTGGACACTTTGTTTTCATCTCAACATTTTGGTTCATTTTTTCTCTGATGGCAACAACCGTCTCAGTAAGATCTGGGTTTGGATTGCATATGTTAAGAAACTGGGATAAAACTTTTTTTATTTGGCCTTGGATGTCACTGATTTGGTGAAGCAGGAATTAGTTAAAGCATGAACATACCAGCTTTATGCCTACTTCTATTATCCTTAAAGGTGCATTGCGTAACTTTTCTGGTAGAGGGTCCATCACCTGCTTTTCTCCATGGAGATGTCATTGCTTTGAACACTGAATTAAACAGAATGGCTTTAAACGTTTCTATGTTCATGGAAACCAAACCAGACCAAGTTACAGGTCAGATCTGTGGAGAGGTCAGAATGCCTGTGTTTCTTGCTGTAAATCCAGATGGAAAAGCTGGAAATGACAACATATTGTATTTACAACATTATTCATTCATTCAACTGTAGTACCACTTTAGTGTAGTGATGCAATTTTTTTTTATTACATATAGTTTTAATTTGTATTTAGCCATAGACATTAAAAAATGCAAAAAACAAGTGAAAAAGTTACAACTCCACCAGGTATTATGAAAGAAGCAGTTGTGTTTTATTTATTTTTTATTTTAACACATGTCACATAATCATTAAATTTTGTGGTTTTACATGCAAGGACAAGTCAAGTGAGACATGAAATGAGAAATGAAAATCTTTTGTATGCTGAGACTTATTGAAAGACTTTCTAGATTCTTTCTTTGATTCTTGCTGTTAGCTGTTTTAACTTAACTGCTGCTTTCTGACCGTACTTAACTAGTCTTTATGATTAGAGCTGCTTGTCAAACTTTACTTGTCAAATGTTAAAATATAATTTGTGGACCAATAATGTATAAATAATTATAAATGGTATGCACACCTCAAAGGGCCTTTCAGGAACTTGAATGAAAATAGAAATGATATATTAACAATTACAAAACCAGATTTAACATTTTTTATTGTTAAATATTTTCTTTATTTCCCTTTCATTTTACCAGGTTTCCAAAAATCTCCTGAAATTATATGGCCAATAAAGGCATCTCAAGGCTCAGGGATTATGGCCACCAATGACAACACCAAAAATAGTGTGAAGTACTTCATCTTGAAAGCACACAGAATCAGAGTACTTGTATTCAAACTACACTTCATTGTAAGTGGTCTATAGCCAATGCCATGCCTTTTGTAGTCTTGACTTTGTGGTTTCATGTGCATGGTGGTGTTGTGTAATCAAAATGCAGATTTCATGGTCTACATGTAGTTTGTGGGGTATTACCAAATCTTCCCAGTATTTTTACTTGAATAAATTAATGAAAAGTTGTACTCTGGAAGAGCATTTATTTGCTTTAAAATCTACTTAAGGATAATAATTATCATAATGCATTCTTCTATGATATGTTAAGTATAAATAAGTATTTTTCAAAAACATTCAAACAGAACATTTTGTAATGCCTTTTGTAAATGCTCTTTATTGACGTCTTTAGACTTGATTGATGAGATTAGATTTGAGTAATGATGAAGTACAGAAGTAACATCGATCACTTGGTGTTGTCTGGCGCTTGGTAGTCGTCCGGTGAGCGTTTTTCCACCAACACCTCCTGCATGTTCTGCTGATCATCAGCTTTGCCGAGAAGCCTGATCACATTAGAAACATGTTACAAAGCATACTTAATACATAATTTACAATGCTTTTACGAAAGGGTGAATTATGGCAGTCTTACCCATGTGCAAATCCATGAACTAAGTGTGGAAAAAATTAAAAAGTGAAGTTATTTTTGTCATCCATTATTACAAATAAACATAATGCAATACAGATATGTTTTACAACACAACCTGTTGTCTGGATCAGTAAACCCTGCATGGGTGCCTTGTTTTGTTCTTTTTTGAAGAATTGTATATTTGTCAGTGAATTATTAGACCAGGAATGTTATCATCTATATAATGATTTATGAAGACACTGAGAAAAATGAACTGAAGCTTAAACTTCTTGTGGAAATGTTTGCGTTATATACTAGTAGTTGCATAGAGGAATGTTCCAAATTATAGTTTTAACTCTCTGTTTCCATGGAATTATGCACTGTGCCATCTCCAGAAAGCTCTGTGGTTGCTTCAGTGCACAAACGGTGATTAATGTAAGTAATAATAATGTATGAAAAATGAAATATATAATGACTGTGTGTTCATTGTAAAGAACAAAACATTAAGACACATACCTCCGTTAAGAAGATGATTCAGCCAGGCCTCTGCAGGTTCAGTCATGGACATGATGACCAGAGCCAGAGTAAGGAAGACAATGGGGCCCCTCATCCTCTGAAAACAAAAACTCATATTACAGGTATTTGTGATGAAGTTAGTTTTGCATGTTAGTTATGTAGTTTGTTATGTTTTAATGCCATACCTGAATGAGTGAAGGAATAACTCTGAAAGAAATGCAGGAGCAGTCTTGTGGCTTGTGATGCCAGGAGTGGCAGAGACTTACTTTTAAATAGATTAAAATGAGGAAGATTAGAATTTTGCAAGTCACAAAACTGTGCCCAGTTGCCATGCTGTTTCATAGTGGTCAGATTAGTCAATGTAGTGTGCCCTTACACAAGTGTCAATAGAAGATGCCATAGTACAATATGGTAAAGCTACTATGTAACTATTACTTTTTGTACCATTATAAAGGTTTTGTTATGCCATTGTTTGTCTTACACTACTGTAAAGGCTGTTATAATGAGATGCTAAGCAATTTTGGTGTAGACATTTTTGCATTTTATAACAGTTAGATGAGAAAGCAGGAGTTTGGGTATTATCTTTGTTAGCGGCCTGATGTGTATCTGAGCATCATGACAGTTCAAATTCAGACACCGTTGAGTAACATTCGTGTCTGGAGTGATCTGTGCTTTTTTATATGTTTTTAGGATCTTGGAGATGCAGATGTATTAATTTTGAGGCCGTAATCTTTCATTTTAAAACATTCAATATATTGCACTGCTGGACAAAATTTTTAAGCGTACTGTAAGTGTTCTTGTCTAACATTTGAATGCTATTTCTGAATGCACAAGGAAAAGTAATCAAATGCCCTTCTTTACAATATGGAAATAACTACAAAGTGAGGGGGTCTGATACATAAATTGTGCCATAGAAATGAGTGCATTAAATAAATTCCCATTGATCATATATGTGTGCATTACACCTTGGTTAGAACACATGAAAGATAAATATTTTTATGTTTTGTCAGGTCAGATATGCTGTTTTTGTACAAATGAAGTATTGTATATCCTAAATGTTAGTGTTTTATATCATTTATAACAGGGGTCTCCAATATTTTTTCACCAAGAGCCACACCTTGAAACATATCTGAAGTGGAGGGCGAAAGAGTGATTCAGACCGGTGCATTTGCTGTAGTTATGACAGAGTCACTGCCTGATCTTTAATAAGGCTTGGAACAAAAATTTTAGGTCTGAATGTTGAGGTTATAGTGGTAGAATTATTTACATTTGCTGTAAAAAGTATTTTCTATGATCAGTTGGGCCAGTTTAACAGAATGGCTTTAAACGTTCCAATCTCCAAGTGAGATCTGTGAAGACGTGACTCTACTCACAATAAAAATGCATGTTTTTAAGTTCGTTTTGGGCAATTTGTGTAGATTTAATACCATATTGTGGAACATTACAAGCAAAGCAACCCCATGATAGCAGTACACCAACCTGAAAAGTTACACAGTACAGCTTTAAACTAGTCCTTATGATTTGGGGTGCTTGTTATTCAAGTTCCATAACTTTAACTTCACTTGTCAAATATTAAAATAATTGACATATATTAAAATATCATCTGTTTATTGGACCAATAATGTATAAATTAACTAACTACAACTGGAATACTAACTGAATAATGTTACTCTCAACTGTGAATGAAAAAAGACTTGATATGTTAACAATCACTAAATCAGATTTTATGTAGCTAAATATGTTCTTTTTTTCTCTTTCATTTTACCTTGAAAGTCCCTTGAAATTATATGGCCAATGAAGGCATCTCTAGGCTCAGGGATTATGGCCACGAATGACACCACCAAAAATAGTGTGAAGTACTTCATCTTGAAAGCACACAGAATCAGAGTACTTGTATTCAAACTACACTTCATTGTAAGTGGTCTATAGCCAATGCCATGCCTTTTGTAGTCTTGACTTTGTGGTTTCATGTGCATGGTGGTGTTGTGTAATCAAAATGCAGATTTCATGGTCTACATGTAGTTTGTGGGGTATTACCAAATCTTCCCAGTATTTTTACTTGAATAAATTTAATGAAAAGTTGTACTCTGGAAGAGCATTTATTTGCTTTAAAATCTACTTAAGGATAATAATTATCATAATGCATTCTTCTATGATATGTTAAGTATAAATAAGTATTTTTCAAAAACGTTCAAACAGAACATTTTGTAATGCCTTTTGTAAATGCTCTTTATTGACGTCTTTAGACTTGATTGATGAGATTAGATTTGAGTAATGAAGTACAGAAGTAACATCGATCACTTGGTGTTGTCTGGCGCTTGGTAGTCGTCCGGTGAGCGTTTTTCCACCAACACCTCCTGCATGTTCTGCTGATCATCAGCTTTGCCGAGAAACCTGATCACATTAGAAACATGTTACAAAGCATACTTAATACATAATTTACAATGCTTTTATGAAAGCGTGAATTATGGCAGTCTTACCCATGTGCAAATCCATGAACTAAGTGTGGAAAAAATTAAAACGTGAAGTTATTTTTCTCATCCATTATTACAAATAAACATAATGCAATACAGATATGTTTTACAACACAACCTGTTGTCTGGATCAGTAAACCCTGCATGGGTGCCTTGTTTTGTTCTTTTTTGAAGAATTGTATATTTGTCAGTGAATTATTAGACCAGGAATGTTATCATCTATATAATGATTTATGAAGACACTGAGAAAAATGAACTGAAGCTTAAACTTCTTGTGGCAATGTTTGCGTTATATACTAGTAGTTGCATAGAGGAATGTTCCAAATTATAGTTTTAACTCTCTGTTTCCATGGAATTATGCACTGTGCCATCTTCATAAAGCTCTGTGGTTGCTTCAGTACACAAACAGTGATTAATGTAAGTAATAATAATGTATGAAAAATGAAATATATAATGAATGTGTGTTCATTGTAAAGAACAAAACATTAAGACACATACGTCCCTTAATGACACGATGCGCCCAGCCCTCTGCAGGTTCAGTCATGGACATGATGACCAGAGCCAGAGTAAGGAAGACAATGGGGCCCCTCATCCTCTGAAAACAAAAACTCATATTACAGGTATTTGTGATGAAGTTTGTTAAAGAATCACTGGTCGGACCCAAATATGCAGAGAGGGAAAAAAAGTATTTTATTCACAAAATAGTCTTGGCGGGGGGAATAGATTCCAGGGGAGGCAGGACGGGTCCGGGTTGGCTGCAGATGGGAGGTCTGTGGAGATGGAGGCTGACCGGAGGCTTACAGAAACTAGTGGTAACGGGATGAGGCTGGCTCCAAAACGGAAGAACTGGGGAATGGATAAAAGAACACAGGTAAGAGTCAAAAATCTTCTCAAACGCTCAAAAACACAAAAAAAACCCCTGAGTTGTTCACCACTTGGTTGATGGAACGATCTGGCACTGGAGAGCAGGTCAGCAGGTCTTTTATTGCAGGAGATGATTACTTGACGAGGATCAGGAGTGGAGCTCAGCAGGTGAGATGAATTGGGGACCCGCCCAGGAAAAGCCAGATAAGGTGAGAGAAGGGAAGAGGGAGCAGGGAAAGGAGGGGTAGAAGAGGCAGAAAGAAACCTTCACAAAGTTAGTTTTGCATGTTAGTTATGTAGTTTGTTATGTTTTAATGCCATACCTGAATGAGTGAAGGAATAACTCTGAAAGAAATGCAGGAGCAGTCTTGTGGCTTGTGATGCCAGGAGTGGCAGAGACTTACTTTTAAATAGATTAAAATGAGGAAGATTAGAATTTTCCAAGTCACAAAACTGTGCCCAGTTGCCATGCTGTTTCATAGTGGTCAGATTAGTCAATGTAGTGTGCCCTTACACAAGTGTCAATAGAAGATGCCATAGTACAATATGGTAAAGCTACTATGTAACTATTACTTTTTGTACCATTATAAAGGTTTTGTTATGCCATTGTTTGTCTTACACTACTGTAAAGGCTGTTATAATGAGATGCTAAGCAATTTTGGTGTAGACATTTTTGCATTTTATAACAGTTAGATGAGAAAGCAGGAGTTTGGGTATTATCTTTGTTAGCGGCCTGATGTGTATCTGAGCATCATGACAGTTCAAATTCAGACACCGTTGAGTAACATTCGTGTCTGGAGTGATCTGTGCTTTTTATATGTTTTTAGGATCTTGGAGATGCAGATGTATTAATTTTGAGGCCGTAATCTTTCATTTTAAAACATTCAATATATTGCACTGCTGGACAAAATTTTTAAGCGTACTGTAAGTGTTCTTGTCTAACATTTGAATGCTATTTCTGAATGCACAAGGAAAAGTAATCAAATGCCCTTCTTTACAATATGGAAATAACTACAAAGTGAGGGGGTCTGATACATAAATTGTGCCATAGAAATGAGTGCATTAAATAAATTCCCATTGATCATATATGTGTGCATTACACCTTGGTTAGAACACATGAAAGATAAATATTTTTATGTTTTGTCAGGTCAGATATGCTGTTTTTGTACAAATGAAGTATTGTATATCCTAAATGTTAGTGTTTTATATCATTTATACAGGGGTCTCCAATATTTTTTCACCAAGAGCCACACCTTGAAACATATCTGAAGTGGAGGGCGAAAGAGTGATTCAGACCAGTGCATTTGCTGTAGTTATGACAGAGTCACTGCCTGATCTTTAATAAGGCTTGGAACAAAAATTTTAGGTCTGAATGTTGAGGTTATAGTGGTAGAATTATTTACATTTGCTGTAAAAAGTATTTCCTATGATCAGTTGGGCCAGTTTAACAGAATGGCTTTAAACGTTCCAATCTCCAAGTGAGATCTGGGAAGACATGACTCTACTCACAATAAAAATGCATGTTTTTAAGTTCGTTTTGGGCAATTTGTGTAGATTTAATACCATATTGTGGAACATTACAAGCAAAGCAACCCCATGATAGCAGTACACCAACCTGAAAAGTTACACAGTACAGCTTTAAACTAGTCCTTGTGATTTGGGGTGCTTGTTATTCAAGTTCCATAACTTTAACTTCACTTGTCAAATATTAAAATAATTGACATATATTAAAATATCATCTGTTTATTGGACCAATAATGTATAAATTAACTAACTACAACTGGAATACTAACTGAATAATGTTACTCTCAACTGTGAATGAAAAAAGACTTGATATGTTAACAATCACTAAATCAGATTTTATGTAGCTAAATATGTTCTTTTTTTCTCTTTCATTTTACCTTGAAAGTCCCTTGAAATTATATGGCCAATGAAGGCATCTCTAGGCTCAGGGATTATGGCCACGAATGACAACACCAAAAATAGTGTGAAGTACTTCATCTTGAAAGCACACAGAATCAGAGTACTTGTATTCAAACTACACTTCATTGTAAGTGGTCTATAGCCAATACCGTGCCTTTTAGAGTCTTGACTATCAGTGCAAATTTCATGGTCTACATGTAGTTTATGAGGTATTAGCAGATCCTCCAGTATTTTTACTTGAATAAGTGAATGAAAAGTATTAGTCAATGCAATGTACCTGTACACAAGTGACAATAGAAGGTATCATAGTACAACATGGTAAGGCTACTTTTCTCTGCTTACTTGATCTATAGTGCATCTATTACTCTGTGAACCATCACTAAGACTTTGCATTGGCTTACATTACTGTAAAGGTTTTTATAATTGACTGTTATAATTTTACGCTGTCATTTTTGCATTTTGCAACAGTTAGATGAGAAAGCAGAAGATTGAACATTATCTTTGTTAGCAGCCTGATGTGTATCTGAATTACATGACCCCAGTTGAGGAACCCTCGTGTGTGGAGTGATCTCTGTCTTTAGAAAATATTTGCAAAATACCTTGGTTACAAAACATTAAAAGATCTTTATACTCTGCACAGCCACAACCAAACACTTTACAAAGACATTATGGTCTAGAACTATATCCTGTCTCCCCACTTTTGCAACATGACAGCATTCATGAACAACATTCAAGAAAACATGCCATAGCCTTTTGTAATGCGCTTTATTGTAACATAAGTAACAGCGGTCACTTGGAGGTATTCGGGGCGTCGGGGTAGTCCTGCTGCTTATCCATATACATCTGCAGATCCTGATCATCTGCTCTGTCTTTTCCTTGGAACACCCTGAAAAGGGTCATACAGAAAACGGAGTCAAAGCACAATACCATACAATCTTACAATGTTTATATTAAAGAGTAAATTAAGTCTTACCCGTGGACACAGCGACCAACTAAGAAAAGGAAAAAACACAATTTAGATTCAGACTCTTAACTCTTTAGATAAATGCCCAATGCGTAAAGGCTTATGTATACACTTGTCTTTGGTGAAAAATGTAAAATGTAATGTAATTATTCAATCAGGAATACCTAAATACTATCTTTAGTGAGTGTCTGGCTGCAGATATTTTCAAGCCCCTCTTGAGGAAAACGTTAGTTATCAATTAACAAGGAAATGGTTAAAGTTAGCATTTAGGTCAGGTTTAGGCACATGCTAGGTTATGGTTAAGGTTCGCATTTGGGTTTGTCATTTTTAGGCATCTGCAGTGGTACATCCAAAATGAGCATAAGGCGCTGGGGCTCCAAGGCCAAACAATACCAGAAGTAACTTTTTCATTTACAGTTCTACCACAGGTTTGAAAGTGAACCCTGGTACTTCTCACATTAAAAGTGTACTATGTTCATAAACAACAGTAATATACAGTTTGAATAATAATTACTTGGACAGTTCATAGATAAATTCATGACAAATAAAATGTTTAAATACTCACCTCCTTGTATGATTTTGTGAAAGAAACCTTCTCCTGGCTCAGCCATCATCACCACCATGCCGAAGACAAGGAACATCAAGGTTAGTTTCATCCTGTGAATAGATATTTACATCAAATAACTCAGAAACAACAGTTTGCACTGTAAGCAAAATTAATAATATAAATATTTGACAAAATACCTGATGTTGGATTAATGAATGTGATTATTATGAGAGAGAGAGAGGGTTTTGGTGGTTGAGGTGCCTGCTCTGTGGCAGAGCAGAGTTTTTTTATAGAGTCTAACCAGGAAGTTCAGATCTGTTTTGAAATCACTTGTGGTAATCTGCATATTCTTGAGTGCCACCTCAATTTTGAAACATCAAGTATATGGGCATATGACAGCTTTCTGTTTGTACCTGTAGTAAATATTTATCATACTTTCATAGTTTGATCTTTCATTTAACAAAATAACGGTGTATTTGTCAATTTATAATTGGACAAATACCAGCAAATTTTGTAAATTAGTTGAGCTTTGACTTTTATTTATATTTAAGTTGCTCTGTAACATTTATCAAATAGCCTCTACTTTCTGGGGGTCTCATTTAGAAAGTATCTGTATGTGCAAAATTATTATGTATGTAAGTATGTGACTTTCCAGTTTATATTTATGATCTATTAAAAACTTTCCATTATGCCTGTCACTGAACTTACTATATCGATTTATCATTCGATATATGAAAGCTGGGGTCATTATTTATCATGTGTACAATTTCTTTGCAGTTGATTGAATTAACTTCTATGACTCATTACAGATGCAAACTAAACTAAAGTGTTTCATTCTGCTATGTATTTATTGCAGCTGTTTTGTTTGTTTGTTTTATATTGTAGATTTAAAATAGTTTTTGTGGTTTAAATATGCTCTTGGGTTTTGTGACATAATTTTGTTTCAGCATTATTGTTTATATTTACTTTAGCAATATTTCACTCTTCAAAATGTGCACATTGTGGCTTTCAGAGATTAAATATAATGATGCTTGCTGTAGTGTACTGACATTTCTTTATCATTTTGTTAATTTGTAATGACTGGCAGTGAGAATGTTCACGTTTGTATATAGCACGTTTCCAGCTGCAAGGCACTGAAAGCACTTTACAGCAAGGAACCACTGACCCATTCACACACACATTCATACACCAGTGTACACAAACACAGGGGCTATGTGGGTTAAGTGTCTTGCCCAAGGACACAATAACAGCATTCATCTATGGGAGCTAGAATCACACTGCCAACCTGTGGGTCAGTAGATCTGCCTGCTCTACCAATGATGAAAAATGTGTGCTGGTTCTCTCACATTTGTCCTTGGTTAGTCAGTATGAGAGTGAATAGTTTAAAACACTGGAGAGGGTTCTAGTACTTATTTCAAAAGTTACATTGACCTTTATTTGTACAAAAAAATATTGTGAAACATTTGAGGTATTCTTACAACAGGTCCCATGAGACAGCAGAAGAGTGGTGGGTGTTAGCAGGCTGATGTGTATCTGTGGCTCCATGACTCATTTAGACCTGGACCACAGATCTGAGGAAGCACCTGAAGTTACAGTGATGTCAGCTGTTTTATGTTAACCAGGACAATATTCTGTATGTGTGGTTTATTTATTAGCTAACACTGAATACTGTAGATTTCATATGCCGTAGTACAGAGCGTAGTGAGGACTTTTTGCCTTCCTGCATAAAGGTTTGAGCATAGATTCCACCATTTACCTATTCATGGTTTTCAGCGTTCTGTTATAGCCAACATTTTGAGGACTTTTACAAATCAAGATCTGTAGAAGTATTTCTGGGTGCTGCACTGTAGTCACCCATGACTCCTCCTGACAGTGTATAATGCTTTACGGTCCTACAAAGGCAGAATGCCGTAACATAATGTTTGGTCAAAAATGAGTTAATCTCATTTTGGGAGTAACTTCTTGCCTCCTTCTTT